GCAGTTTGGCCTTCACACTTTGCAAGCTCTCTGCCTCCAGCCTCAGGTGGGATCACTTCTTCCGGTACAGTAGACTGGATCTTCTATAAGATCTTAGTCTCAGGTGCATTTGACTGCATCTTAACTCAGCTTAAAGGAGTAAAGATCTATGCTTTGGAAGGTTTAGTCTGTCTGTGGTCACGTGGTTCCCTGGCAATGGGTCTGTGATAAAGCAGAACATCATAGCAGCAGTATCACATGACAGAGCAGCTCCCCATGGCATAGCAGACAAGAAGAGAAGATAAATATAGGAGAAAAGGCCCAGGGACAGCGTGCATCCTTCAAAGGCAAGCCAATTTCTTCCCATTTGTCCCACCCCCCATCTTCCCAATAATGCCGGTCTATTATGAATCCATCTATTCATTAAGCCACTGATTACATCAGAGCCCTCATGACCCGAGGCCTTACCAAAGTCCTATCTATGAACATAGCACTGGAGACCAAGCCTTCAACACCTGAACCTTTGGTTCAGAATTCTTCATAGCCAAGCCAAGAAACGATAGCTTGCTTATTTTTTCCTTCAGGCAACCACTCCATATTAACTGTACTAATTAAATTCCCATACAGACTTATGGACCAGCCATTTTCTCCTTCTAGGCTGCTTCTTTTTTTCCTACTTTCTTAACCATTTTGAATGGCACTTCCAGCTTCCTAAGGGCCAGGCTTGTACAGATGCATCTTGTGAGACATGGCATGGCACTCCTTCATTGTTCCCAACACAATGTCCCGGCTGTTAGACATCTCCCCGGACATCTGAGCTGTGGACAAAACTCACGAACATCAGTATACGTTTACTTCAGTGAAGACTCCAGCTAGGCAGAATGTAAGCAGGATTGTGAATGCTGTTCAGAGTCCAGGTAGTCAGTAACTTGCTCAAAATGGTAAGAGGAAAACACGCTGGGAGGGGCAAGTTTAGAGATGACTGGCCAGTTTCTACTTGGTTTGCCAGTATGAAGGAAACATGAGCGTGTTTAGAGGGTAAAATAAACATGTCAGAAAAAATTAAAGGAACCAAATGGGTCAGAGAGCCAGGGAAAAACAGAATGTCTGAGAGAAAGTCACAGAGTGAGGTCTTGAAGAAGGAAGTCCCGTACTCTGTAAAGGAATGAATGGTGATTACCATTCAGAGATGGTTAGAACAGGGGGAAGCAGGTAGGAACAGAGAGTGAGTTATTTGGATATAGGAGAATGTGTTGAGCCCCAGGCTCAACATCTGCCTGGGAATTTCAGATTTACTTGAAAACAAGGAAGACTGGAAGGGACGGGGGCTGCAGACAGGAACTATTCACACTGCACACATTAGAGCATTTAATTATCACACTATCAGCCGGCTAGGCTTGCAGCACTGGAAGACGTTAACTGTCTTGGAAGTCAAATTGTAGTTTGCGATCCATTTGGGACTTGACTGGGATCTGTCCAACGACATCTTTCCATATAGTGTCCTCCCCTCCCCTTTCTCTGTGTATCCGTCCTTGTCTCTCCTGCTAACAGCATCTTGTTGTGATCGTTAATGAGTTTTCATAAGGTCCACTGCGTTTCTGTCTTACGAGTTACCAGCCAAAGAAAGGCTTTGCTTAACTCTACAAATATCTAAGAAACTGGTATTCTTTTCTGCAATCAAGGGAAAATGTAGTCACTAGGGACATGGTTCAGTGGATAAGATGCTTACTGGGCAAGCTTGAGGGCCTGAGTTCAGATGCCCAGCACCCATAGAAAATGCTGGAAGGGTTAACACGTGCCTATAATCACTGTATTGAGAGACAGAGACAGAGAGATCCAGGGTGCTCGCTGCCCACCCAGTCTAGCTGAGAGACATTGTCTCCAAAAATGAAGTAGAGAATGATAGAGGGAGATGCCTAGCCCCAACCTCTGGCCCCACTGGGGTATCCATAAGCAATTTGTACAGGGAGCTCCAGGATGCAGCTTTCATGAGTCATCATCCATGCTGGGCTGAGCTTTTTGGGGATGCAGCTACCTTTGAGTAGCCACTGCTCCAGCCAGGGTTCCCAATAAGCTCTTGGATTCATCCTGCTACACTTGAGTGGAAGCATTTCCTTGGTCTGCCATTACTACCCTACATAAGGCGAGTATAAGTTTGCCCACATCTCCCCATGGAAAGTCATGGAAGGGGAGCCAGGCCTGACCTGTTCTTCCTTCCTTTCCTCTCAGTAAAAACATATTGTATGACCTGTGCAAAGTCCCTCAGAGAAACTGCAGTGTATCCTTGTACTTCTCTGCTCTCTGGGTCCCGGGCTCCTACTAACATGTGAATAATACCTTCAAGAAACCCCGCGTGTGTGTGCAAGCATCTATTCTCCTTTGCCTACCTGGGTCCAGGGTGTGTTTGCAAAATGAATGAATCAGTCAGCCACTCAATCAATCAAGACTGACCTTTAATTAAATGGCCACTTATTTACTTTCTGGTCTACAGTAGAATTTGTCCTGCTGGCAATTAGAATTGGAGCCTTTATAAATGTAAACCTGAAAAGCACTACACTGTTAAATACATTCCTTTTTAAAAAAAATCCTATTTCTGCGGCTGCTTTGTTCTGCCCAGAGAAGTTTGGGATGGAAAGTTGAATGAGCAATCAGCATGACAGCCTCTCTGTGATTACTCCTGTAATCTGCAGAGCCTAAGTGGTGGCCTTGGGGAGACTTTGAGTCTATTTCCTTATTAGGAAATCATAGTGATTTCAGGAAAAGCACAAAGGAAATGTTTCTGCTGAGAAATAGCATGCTGTAACTAATGGGGGAAGGAAAAAAGTATGTACTTTGAAATCCCACGGAGCAACACTATGCCTCAGAAGGAAATTGTGTCTTCAGGAAACCCTAAGCTTGCACTGGAACAGAGAGATGCTATGTGTGTCTGGCCCTTGAAGGCATGGGACACAGTCATGATCTGCAGCCCTGTACCCCTTGTCAATCACACAAGGGGTAACATGGGTTTTCTTGCCTTTTGTTTTTGTTTTGGTTGTTTTGGTTTTTCTAGACAAGGCTCCCCTCTGTGGCCCTGGTTGTCCTGGAACTTGCTCTGTAGACCAGGCTGACCTCAAACTCAGAGATCTGCCTGCCTCTGCCTCTCCAGTGCTGGAATTAGGGCTGGGATCAAAGGTGTGCACCACCACACCCTGCTGGATTACTATGTCCTTTATGTACAACCAGATTTCTGCTTCTTTAAAGGCAAGGATGCTGTGAATGTTACCCTGTCCCTGGCAACTATAAATAAGAAGGGAACCATGCTATTCAGAGCTTCACTGGCTCTCTGTCAACCATCCTTTCATGGCCACAATTCTTTCCTTGTTATTATGCAGCCACCATTTGTAGTTACTGAAAAATGCTTAAGCTCTGCTCATTGATAAACTGTATGCCATTCTGATCTCAAGAACATACCCAGCAAGTCACTTGAGAATGAACTGTTCTACTTGTATTAATATAATTAATTAGTGTTTAAGCAGGATTGCAGAGTTGAGAGCTTTACCCAATACATTCAAACAATATGGTCCTTGTGCCCAATCTGGGTATTAAAGATACAATGGTAAACAAACACATAGTGTTTTGCCCTTGCGGGCTTCTCTAGCTAGTAGGCAAGGCAAATGTGGGGGAAGAAATGCCATTTCATATGAAACTGTCTATAGTACAATTAAGTGTGTGCTATATAGTGAGCCCTAAGACAACGCAGAGAGAGCATGGCCAGATACATGAAGTTGGGTGATCTCTAGGATGATTGTTATAAGCAGAAATTTCTTATTCATAGTTCACAATGATCCCAGACTCATCTAGGACTGGCTCCTTGCCTGACATATCCTGGGATCCAGGCTGAAGGGAATGGGCCAGTCTCTCTCTGAAATGCATAGAGGGCATGGAAGGGCAGACAGTGGCCAAAATCGGCCCTCACCACTTTCTGTTGTTCCGTATTGGTCAAAGTGAGTCTCACACCCCACACTGAGTTTACTTAATACTGTACAGAGAGCAGGGCAAGGAAAAGCAGCATAGACTAACTGGAAACTGCCGTGGATTATGGTTGGAACATAAAGTGAAAGATGAGACAGACCCAGTAAAAACAAGGAGTAAGCAATAGGTAACCTGGCATTTGACTTGAGGAATGATTACAAGGATGAGGCTTTACTCAGTCTATCTTTTTCAAGGATTTAGACCTCAGTCTCATCCTAATTTCTCATAAGAACATCTAGAATACAGTTTGAACAACATTCTGGACTAATGGTCAAGCTAATTTGATCTACAGAGTCAAGAAAAGATAGTCAAAAAGCAAGAGCGTGTCTCTCTGTGCACTAGTCTTAATGTATAGCTTCTCTATGGAAAAGTATCCAGCTGGAGAAAACTGGTCCACATTTATTAGTAAATATAGTCATCCCTTGGAAAAGATTAAAAAGAAAAAGAAAGGAAGAGATGGAAGGGAACATTAAGAAAAATGTAATAATCTATATTAAAATCTTTGGTACTGACACACCAAACTGTAGCTCATTTTTATTATTCTTATCACTACATTATTTTTATCTGTCCACTGGTATTTATTTTTTTTCAGATGGTAAAACTAGTGTTGAGAGATTATCCCCCTGCCACAGATTAACAGCCTCTCATATTGAGGTCACACCAATCGTTTGGTATGCAGGGTCACCTGCTAGCCTCTGGCTAGCCGGCAATGGGCACCAACTGGATTCCCACCCACCAAGACCAATCAAGATGACCAGCGGAGAGCAATGTTGAATTCATTCACAAATAGCAGGAACAAAACCTGACCTACTTTAAGCTGTGAAGTGGGGCTCCTGAGCTTCCATTTCTGGATGAGAAGAGCTAAGCCTGCCAACGGGCTTTGTTTGATCTAGACATCAGGCATTCATTCACTGATTGGATGGGACAGGGTGAACACACGCTGCACAATCTATGTCCCTGCTTGGTGCTGGCTTTGGCAGGACCAAGGGGAGGAGCAAACAGAACCTAAATTGAGTCCTTACCTTCCCGGTATTTCATTAATTTGACTTCAAGCTCCATTCTGCTCCCAGGGAGGTTAGTCTTGGTTTTTGACTGCATTTCTTGGTTCTCATCGATAAGTAGGTTGCAAGAAGCAGAATTACACAGACATATAAGAGCTAAATTACTATCCAGGATGAGCCAGGCAGAGTGCAGAAAGACAGGCTGATCAGAGGAACCCAACGCCAGGCCACTGTGGTTGGAAGCATTGCATAGAGATGTGAAGATGGCTTAATGAGAATGAATGGGTCCAGATAACGAACTCAGCTCATACCACCCATGAGCAGCCAAGGAGGATGAGATCATCTGTGGAACCTAGTGTGTTGTGTTGCTGGGTTTTCACGCAGGTTTCCCTGTCTCCGAACTGCACCTTCAAGACAGGATGGGGCTGTCGAGGGAGAGGAAACTGAGTCAGAAAAGAAAAAGTCATATGCCACAGCTCTGCTGTATGTTTGCTGTGGGTCTTAAGGAAGTGATTTGCCTGTACTCCAATGGGAAGAGGAGGGCTGAACTGGCAGGGCTTGCTCAAGGCACGGCGGCTGGTGTGGCTGCATAGAAGACATCAGTCCTTCCTAGCCATCCTCGGGTGTCCAGATCTAGTGTTTGTGCTATTTATGTCTCACCCCACATCTCTGTAGCGCTCCTGGGGAGCTAGAGGAACAAAAATTTCTGCTTTACTGAGAATTCTCCTATTATTTTTCTCTCTGGAGAAGCCTGTCCTCCTTTGATCTGAGATTGACAATCAGGCTATTCTGAGAAGGACTAATTACAGAACACATCCGGTGAGTGCCCCTCTTTCGCCCCCACACAGTTACTGGAGCTGCAATGTGACAAGCCAGTCTTGCCAAGTGGCCCAAACCTATGGCACCTGTGGGCAGTGGTTGCCCATAGCAACAGCAAGGGGGAGGAGCTGTGAGGAGAGAAGCCACAGTGTCTGTCTGGTTTTGCTTATGATTTCGTGTGTGTGTGTGTGTGTGTGTGTGTGTGTGTGTGTGTGTGTGTGTGTGTGTGTGTGTAGAGAAGCATGCAATTAAAAGTGAGGGAGTCAGGAGAAGGTGCTGGGGAGAGGGAATGGCATGCCTGCTTGCATTAATTTTAACATGTAACTTCTTAAAGGGAGAATGTTCAGCTGAGGAAGCTGTGTCTCTCCTCATTTACTGGCAAATGTAGTCATACCACAATATTCATGGGAGATGGCCTCCAAGAATCCCCAGGGTTATCAAAAGCCTTGTAAGTTCAAACCGTCTACAGAAAACAGGTAGCATATCTGCATGGAACTTGTGTGCGGTCCTTATAATACCCAACGCACTGTAACTGCTCCTTGAAGTTAGCGTTACACTGTGTTGTTTAGGAAATTATGACAGAAAATAAATCCTGTATAGATGCCATGTTTTCCTCAGCCTTCTTAGTCTGTGGTAGGCTGAACCCATGGACACTGAGAGCTGCTGACCGCATGTATGTAGGTAATAGAGACCCTTACCACATCTTACCTTAAGCCACACTAACCCATTCTTGGGAAAGATCTTGGGTTGTCTCCGTCATCTTAGGATGATGAATTTGGAAAAGGAAGAGTCTGGAATCGCACAAAAATGTAAGTCTACTGGCAGATATCAATACTTACAGTAAGCTGTCCCCATGTTGAAAGGCATGGAAGCCCAGAAGCCCAGTGGTTTACCACATCTGCATACCAAGGGCCAACAGTGAGAGCTGCTGTTCATCAGTACAGTCTTTTGCAGAACCCCTTTGGACACATCAGGGACATCTCTAGGTGGAGCTGCTTTAGAAATATCACCAGCCTCTTAGATTCCCAGGTCGCCACAATTTTGTCCATCAGTTGGGAATAAATTCTACCTTTTAAGTTACTTAAAAGATGTACTGTAGTTTAGAAAGTCCCCAAACTCACGCCTGTCAGCCTGTGGCATGTAAAGACTGCAAATTCCATGCCTGGAAAGGAAGACCCTTGGATGTAGGCTAGGAATGAGCACAGGACAGAGAAGGTGTACAGCCGGTCTTACCAGCCTGTCCACATCTGTGGTCTCTCTCATAGCTCCTTCCAGACTCTGACACTGCCTGGCTGCAGGAGGATGGAGCTCAGTCCTGTTGCCTTTGGAGACACTCTTCCTGGTTTCTAAAATGGAGCTAGCCATGCCTCTGCCTGCGGGCTAGGATTCCTGAGGACTGGAAGCATTTTCTGCTGGGCAAGGTTCACTGAGCAGTAACCCTTGGTCTGGACAGCCTGAGAGCACTTCTCAGCCCTGTAACCCAAACAAGCAAGGGTGTGTTGGATCTGCGGGACCTCTGAATGTGTAGGTGCATGTACATTTGCACATATGGTAGGAAGCCAATAACAACCTTAATTGTGGTTCTTCAGCACCTGTCCAGCTTGTGTTTTCCTTAAGTATTTTTATTAATTTTTTTGAGACTGTCGTATAATATATTTTGATGATGTTCACCCATCCGTCCCCCATCTCTTCTCAGGCCCACTCTCTTCACGTGCACTACCCTATCCACCCAACTTTGAGTCTTCCTCCTCCTCCTCCTCCTCCTCCTCCTCCTCCTCCTCCTCCTCCTCCTCCTCCTCCTTTTAAACCCATTGAGTCCAGATTGTTTCTTCCAGTTACTCTTGGGAGAAGAGCTTGTTCTGTGATGTGGCCAACTAACCGGGGGGGGGGGGGGGGGGGGGGGGGGGCAGGCATATATTGCTAAACAATACTCTCTCTCTTTCTCCCAGAACCTAGTGGTGTGACTTGTGTGCCCACCTCCCCTCTTCCATGCTGGCATTTTTGTCTGGCTTGACTTTGTGTAGCTCTTATTTATGCTGTCAAAATCCCTGAGTTCATTTGTATAACTGCTCCGCCCAGAAAACCGTGTTTCCTGGAAGCGATCCACCACCACTCTGACAATATTTCCATCCCCTCACCGTGAAGAATCTCAAGCATTTAGGATTGAACACTCTACAGTTTCTTGTTTTCCGCACTTGAACAGCTTCGGTCTCTCTGTCAACTGCCATCTACTACAAGGAGCAGCTTCTCTCAAGAGGGTTGACGAATCCAGGGGTCACTATAATACTATGTCTACTTAGCATAATAATAGTATTAGATTCTACCCTGGGGCCTATGACCTATCTAGCCACAGGTTCTTGATCTCACTAACCACAAACTGATCATGAGAAAGCATCTTTCTGTAGCTCTTGGAACTTGATCATCACAAAGAACTCACTATCAGTTCCTAAGCTCAGGCATAGAGTAGCTCTATAGCTCTCCACCTGCCTGCTGTCTCTGATGTCCCCTGTTGGCCCTCAGTTCTGAGGACTGATCTCATTCCTGGTCCTCAAAACAGGCTCATGGTTGAGATATGTGAGCATTCTGCAAGCTTTGATGAAGATTTATGTAATACAACATGATAGGAGCTGAGGTGCGTTTCTGGAAGGGCTTTGCAAGAAAGAGTTAAGAGTGATGACTTTTACCAGAACAGTTTGAGAAAGGCTGAAGCAGAATTTGCTAAAAAGAAAAAGATAGAAGAAAAAAGTTATGTTGTCACATATACATATATACATATTATGTATGTTATATATACATACATAATAAATACACACACATATATATGAAACTTTACAGTAAAGAGGCACTTATGATGAAGAACATCAGAAAGGGTTTCATTTTCAGAAAAGGATCACACTGTCTTTGCCTTAGCAAGTATCTGTCCAATCATATCTATTAAATTATTATCATCATTTTGTCTTTAACTGAAACATGCTTTGCTGAAAATGCTCTAGGAGACAAGCACTTACATGCATACCTTCATGGAAATTGGAAAACAGAGCAGGATTTGGCATGTCAGATTGTGCTGTGCATGAAACCAAAGCAAAGTTGTTCACTTCTTCCACTCCATTTGTTCACCAGCTAAGTAGCAATTGTACCAAGGTCTGTCATTCATAGCATTGTCAAGGTTCCGGTTGTTGGCACAGTCAAAGTTCAGTGTGTGGCATGTGATGGAGAACAGCTCTGTTCCCTGAAATACTGAACAGCCATATTGAACCATCGACACAATGTTCTAGCACCATTGCAGAGAGACGTAAGTTATAGGTGAAAGCCCTTGGTCCCAGCACTGGTGGAGCACCACTGCATGGAGTACAGTAGTTGGTTATGTTGTCTCTCCAAGCAGCAGAGTTCTCCCAAAGAGCCTACTCCTCCATTCAGTTCATAGTTATGCCTTGGCATATAATTCCCTCATCTATGACAGCATGCAAGCTCTCATAAAGACATTCAATACTGTGATCAAATGAAACAGGACCATTTCTATCCCAAGTTGAATCTGAACTGTTTAGCAAGGTTAAAAAGAACACAGGCCCCAGGAATAAAGCAATAGTCAGCAGCAATTGTAGCTTCTAATTGCCTGGGAAGGTGAGAAGTGTTCTTTCAAAGGAAACGTTAGACAATGCCCATCATTCATGGGAGCACATCCTCGTGTGCAAAAAGACAAAGAAGTGAGTGCTCTTTATTTATTATTTATGTCTTGCAAACACTGGGACACATGGTCAAATTTTCAATTTCATATTTCTATGATTCTTCCTACTGAATGATATTCTTAAAGCTGTGGCAGTCATGTCTGGGTGAAGGGAAAACAGAGTGTTACAAGTGCTTCAGGGAAAGTGACAGTCCATTCCCCTGATGGGTTTAGGATGCAGGCAGACAGATGTTAGGCTGTGCTGATCGTAGATTTGTGCATAATACAGACGGGCATGTTAGATTTTGATCGGACCATGGATCAACATTTCACAGACACATTTTCTATGTCTCTCTCTCTCTCTCCTTCCCTCATTTTTATACATTTCTCAGCATCTCACTTAGGTTAAACTCATAATGGCCTTCAGAAAAGAGAAATTTTCTTATGTTAAAGCTTATACATAAGTCAGACATGACTTTAATACTATCATTTGGGAGGCAGAGGCAGCCAGACCTCTGGGAGTTCTAGGCCAGCCAAGGAAGCATAGTACCTTGTCTCAAACACACACACACACACACACACACACACACACACACACACACACACACACACACACACACAGGGGGGGGGAGAGGGAGAGAGACAGAGGCGGAGAGAAAGAGAGAGAGGATGATGTGACATTGTTCTTGTAATTGTTTTCTGGTCTATTAGCTACTCTTTCTGAGTACCTTCAGAAAGAGCTAAAGACTGATTTCAGTTCACAGATTCAGAGGGTTCAGTTCACGATGGCAGGGAAGCCATGGTGGAGCACCCCCCCTTCACATCATAAGGATCTAAGAAGCAGAGGAGAGTCCTATCTACACTCCCCATCCACACAATACATTTTGCTAAAAGCAGCCAACTGTAGGTATACCGAAGCCTGTATGCTATACCGTCTTGAAATTCCCCCCTGCCAAGTTCATTAGTCTGTTATCTAGAGCTGTAGTCTTCTATGAAGTCTGGGGACAGAGATGAAATGCAGACAAATTCCTTGCCAGAATAAGCCATGCATTTCCTCTGTCTCAAACCTTGCAGCTGCTAGCACTCTCTTCTGTACGGGCTGGTCCACCAAGATGTACACCGACTATCTGGCCAGTGTCTTTCCTGCCATGATGGACTGGGTCCTCTGGAACCATAAGTAGAGCAAATGCTCCTTCCTCAAATTTGTCTACTGGGTATTTTTGTCACAGAGGTAAAAATTAGTATATTCGTCCTCTAAGAAGTCTCAGTTTAGAAGTTGAATCCACAGGGGGGAAAAAGTCTTCTGGTGCTTGTCCGAAACATCTGAAGGACTTCCAATTCAATACCCATCCCACCCCAGGTCCGCATTGCACAGGGTTGCTATTCAATGCCTTCTCACAAGTAAAGCGTTCATAAATACTGTAACAGGGAACATTTGTGAGTTAATCAAGTGTCAGACATAGAACTGTTTTCCTCAGTTGCCCTTCAAAAGCTAAAGGAGCGATATCTGAGGCTGCCATAATACAAGCGAGGAGAGACTAGACTTCAGAGGGATCCAGTCAGCTAGGGAGGGGAATTCACAGCCATGCGGGGCTCGTCTTCTGCACCTGCGCTGCCGTCTCTTATGTTTTTGCTCTTTCCCGTTTGTCTTCTGGGATGCTGCCTTCCATCTCTAGGTCTCAGGACAGAAACCATCTCGTCAGAGGGACTTCCTGAGTTTCCCTAGCTAACACAACTCTGACTTTCTACTTTCCTCATTTTGAGATTCATCTCTTCCTACTAGAATAAAATGTCCATGCAGACAAGGGTTCTTCATTAATCATCTCTTTTGCCCTGCTATCTCGACAGAGCTGCACGTAGAACAGGGGTGTGGAAGCGTTTACAGCCCCATTGCCTCTCGAATCTCTTCTAGGCAGCTTCTTTGGGGGATTGAGTTGTCTTGTGCCCTCTGGGCTCCATGGCCTTCTCTGGCGTAAGGGGAATAGAACAGGATATAGAGTTCGTGCTTCTACTACATCCAGACGGGGGGAAATTGCCCAGACTTTCAGATCTTCTAAGGAAGAAAATGACTTCTTTGCTCAGGAACTCATCCCATTGTGTAGCCACGCTGCCAGGAAATTCTTCGCCAGATCTGACCCAAATTTGTCCAGCTGTGACTGAAACCAACTTTGTCCTGGGTGGTCCTCGGAGGGGACGGCTGTAGAAAGAACCCTTTGTGTCAAATGACACAACATCCCACCCAGACCACGAGAGAGAAGGAGGTTTACGGCAAGCTGCTGGCCTCATGGATTTCACAGCTGGAGGAGTGGCCAGACTTCTGTGGAGACAAAGCCCCAGGAGAGTCAGTTGATCTGGCTCCACTTCCAGTTTTCTTCTGCTAGGTGAGCTAAACAAAGCCATCCGACCTCCAGAAATATCACCTGCCCATCAATGACATGAATGATATTTTTATACCTGGGAGCTCTTGCTTGTTTGGGTCTAAATTAGAAAGCTCTAACTCACAACTCCAGTGAAAAAAGAAATAAATATTTCTTCTGGAGTCACCCTCTAGAAGAGTTCTGTAAGGCACATTTATCCAAGCTACCTCACTACTGTTCTTATTTCCATGTATGCCTAGCTCAGCCTCACAGCCCCTTCTGATCAGCTCAACAGAATAAGAGAAAAATGCTTGTCCAATAGAGGTTCCCTAGTCAGATCGTGTCTTTCAACCAACTGATAAGCCCGGAAGAAATCCTCAGGCCTCGGGGCTACCGGCTGACTCACCTTAGGCTGGGAGTCTCTTAACAGCCCTGCAACATTCACCTAAATGTGGTTCTAGTCATCTCCTCATCCCTGTCACTCCATCAAAAGTGTCAGGGCAGGACACAAGTGACATGGGAGAGAAGCAGAGACAGCCCAGGCTTCAGAGGAGCTGCCCCACTCTGCTGTGGGGACAGGCAGTGGTTAGCGTGGAGCTAAAGCTCACCCAACTGGGACACATGCTTCGGTGTTTCGTTCTCAAAGAAGCTTGCTTCTCAGAGTTTTCCTCCAGACATCCAGGCACAGAGAAAGGGCTTAGTACCGGAAGCCACCCCTGACGGCTGTGTAAATGGCAAATACAGAGTTTCTTGCTTGTTCATTTTATAACAGCACAAGGTTTGCTCCCAAGGCTCTGGTACCCTGCAAGTATCAAACCAATAGATGAATATAATGTTGAGAATCTCAAAGCCTAAGAGCAATTTCCTGTGAGCATGACTCTGCTTTCATGTGAAATCATGGAATTGTGGACCCATGGCTATATTTGGATTGTCTAGAAGAACAGAACAGATAGAATGCATACACAAAGAGAGATATACACATACACACAGGCATATAGACACACACACACACACACACACACACACACACACACACACACACACACACACACAGATTTCTGAATGGCTTTCTAAGCAACAGGCCCAACAATGGCTGTCTGAACGCTAAAGAGGCTGAAACCAGCAGCTGCTCAGGCCTTAAAGCTGTTGCCTCAACAGTCTCAGTCTGGTTGTTATCAGCCTTCAGGACACATTGGAAACCAAAGAAGCTGGATGCTGATGGCAGCAGTGGAGGCTGGCACACCAAGGAGCGAAAAGTGAGGCAAGGAAGCAAGCTTGAGTTTTCCTCAGACCACCTCATCTCTGGGCTGCCTGCCAGAAGAGGCTGCCCTTTCTGGGAGAGGGTCTTCTTCCCTCGGTTGACCTTGAGATGCCTTTGCAGCACCACCCAAAGGCAGGTAGGTGTCTTAGCTCTGGAATCCTTTTCTTTGTCTTCTCTAACTTCAGGAAATCACGGCTAGGGTCCCAGCTTGCTTTCTGTCGCTGTGATAAACACCCTGACCCAATGCAACGTGGGGAGGAAAGGGTTTATATCAGCTTGCAAGGTACAGCACATCATCGAGGAAAGCCAAGGTAGGAACTCAAGGCAGGAACCTGGAAGCAGAAACCAAAGCAGAACCCACAATGTTCCTTACTGGCTCGCTCCCTCTGGCATGTTGAGCTACCTTTCTTACATATTCTAGGACCACATATCCAGGAATCACATTGACTACAGTGAGCTGGACCCTCCAAGGTCAGTTCGCAAACAAGAAAATGCCCTCCAGGGACATGCTCACAGACTAGGCTGATGGAGGCCATTCCTCAATTGAGGTTCCTTCATCCCAGGTATGTCTCGGTTTCTATGAAGTTGGTAAGAATTAACTATGGCAACTAGGTTTGGGGATTTCGAGGCCTGCAACTGTCCCATGCCACATGCTTACGCCAGTTCTACTGCGGTGTGCCCAGTAGACATCACACCTTGCTTATGGTGATTTGCTCTACTCTTGCCTCTTGGGTTCTTACAGAAAGGAAGGAAGGGTGCTGAGCCAGCTAGGCACCACACCCTCAGACCCACCTTCAGTTGTTAGGTCTCTGCTGCTGCATAGTCCATGCTCACCACCCATCGGCTGATTCCTAGCCTCATGCTCCTAGCAAGGTTTGGTATAAACGACTTGAGTGCCAAACTGGGGTTGTATCATTTCTGCTGGCTTTGGGTTAGACAGCATTGGCTCATCCCTGGGCAGGTCAGTTAATCAAACTAGATCTGTGTTTGTCAGTGACAAAATGAAGATATTAATGTATGCCCTGCCTAACTTGTTTGACTGACATGTGAGATGAAATCTGAAAATGTGTTTTGTAAACTATGAAATTTCACCCAAATGAAATAGATACGGCACCAATTTAAAAACAAAACAAAACACCAAACTACAACTATTTGTTTTTAACATAATGCAGTTTGAAGTGCCATCAATGGGCTTTTTGTCTTTCAACAAAATTTCCGTTGGAATTAACATACTAAGAAAATTTGGTAGTGACCCTGAAAGGCGGAGAAATGTCATGTGAAAGTTATAATCATTTGTTCTTCACTTAATGGTAAATATACATTGAATTCCTAGTATGTGACCCAATGTACAAGCGATGAAGAAGAAAGGTGTGAGCTCTAGTCTCAATGAACTCACAGTCTAGTAGGGGACAAGACAGCAACCACACCATCACACTTCGTGCTCTAAGTAGAACGCTGATGTTGAGTGAGTCAGTCCGTCAAATCGAGCCCTGCTTCAAGGAGAAGCAGTAATCCAAAAAATGCAGAATTTCAATTGAAGGAGGGCAAGAAAGAGCAGCCTGAAATGGAGGGAGGGGTCTGTACAAAGAATGTGAAGCAAGAGAAGCATCTGTGAGCTGGGCGGTGGTGGTGGTAGCTCACGCCTTTAATCCCAGCACTCGAGCGGCAGAGCCAGGTAGGTCTCTGTGGGTTCGAGGCCAGCCTGGTCTACAGAGTGAGATCCAGGACAGCACTCAGGGCTTGTTTACTCTGAGATGTGACATGTTCTGACTTGTGTTTCAGGAAGACCATCCTGAAGGTGTCCTTAGTCACTGAAGTCCTGGGATAAGCTAGAGTCTGGGCTTTGCCTAGCGACCTGTCCCATTTGAATCACTTAGGGAATCTAGACTAAATGCAGACTCCTGAGTGCAACTGCTTTAACCCTAAACCATACGGTTTTCCTTCTGCACATGTCTTCTCAAAGAGATTCTTGAAGTTGAACAAAGTGTTCCAGGGTTGATGGTGACACCCAACAGGTTATGTCCACAACCTAAACCCCCCAACTTAAGGATGTTACTTTTGGCCAAGAGAGGTCTTTCTCCTTGCATAATTTTTGGTTTGGGATGCTGAGTTTTTGTCATGTGGGCCTCAGCACAGTTGCATGCATCTTTGGAAGATGACCAGAGACGAGGAAACAGAAGAAGACGCAGTGTGACAAGACCATGAAAGAAAGATAGGATGAAGTATCCCCGCCATGTCTAAATTCCCGACATTTGGCTTCCAGTGTTGTAAGGAACAGGCATCTCCTGTTTTAGAACGCCTTGTGTGTTATCATTTAAGACAATCCTGAGAGACTAACCAATAGCAAATAAGCTTGTTCTTGCTATTGCTGGAGGCAACAGTGTGGGTGACCTTAACTGCAAATAGACACAGTCCTCTCTGTCTGGAGTCTTCATGCACCAGCTCTTTGGTCCAGTTGACTGCTTTGCCTGAGAAGTGCAGGTCTCCAGGGTGCAAGGGTGTGAGACAGCAGCCTCCTTCCTACAACAATTTTGGTGTTCTTGCAGGTTGGACATGTCAGAGGGCTTATCATTGAGATACTATGGGCCTTCTGACTAGGCACCAGGGACTCTGTATCCGTTGCACCAAGCTGGGAGGAGTTTCCTTAATGAGGTAAGTGTGCATACATCTAGACATATGTGTATTTTGCATGTGTGTTTGTGTGGGTGTTATGTGTATCTGTGTTCACCTCTTTCTTCATTGAGTGTGTGTTAGGGGCAGCCATGTCTGTCTATGTCCAGCTCCTTCCAGGACCCATTTATTTGAGAAGGAACTTTTCATGACACTAAAGAAATTTCCAGAACATGATTAATGTAGCCCAAGTCCTGATGAAAATAGTGAAGACACACACACACACACAAAAAAAAAAAAAAACAAAAAACAAAAAACAAAGCAAGTGTGGTGTCTGCACAGAAAAATGTTCACATCTGGTGGACAGTGACGCCACTCGTGAACGTGGAGGGAAGTGACTCTCAATCCACACAACTGTAGTTCAAACACAGTCTCTGACTTCCATTAGTTGAGTCTCTACTAGCCAGTTTCCTAAACACTCTAAGTGTAAAATGAAGACATTAATATCTACTCTTTGGATTCTTGAATCCCAATTTCTTAAGTCAGTGAACACAAAACCTTGGAGCAATCCAGACCATCCTATCTCTCCTTAATATGGAGCTATGGCTGTGTTCTGGTGGAAGTAAATAAACAGCCAACAGGCAGAAAAATTGGAGTCCAACCTGCTTCAAAGTCAGGAGAACCTTTGAGGAGCCATCAAGATGGAACCAGGGAGCGCCAAACTGGTCGGGGTACAAAGTTCAAGCAAGCCATTGAATCTGCAGGAGTTCCAGCCTCTGTGTTAGCACTGACCTCACAGGCAATGAAAACATATACGGCTTTCTAACTGATGCTAATTGAGAATTAACATTTTCTCCTGTGGTTACTTGGGACGCCTCAAACTGTACAATGCCCATCTTCCTAGAATTATAATGAGCAGCAGACCATCATTTAGAGAAGGAAGATATTGCCCCTCATCTGGAGGAGTCATTTCATCTAAGCAACTTTTCTAAAGCCTGTTTTTTTTAAAAACTTGCTTGAATCTAAAGCATTTTTAATGAGTAAATCAAACATATTTAAGAGTATTTTTAAAAACTAAAGCTTTTATATACAGTTCCTAAATGCATCTAATATTGTTCACTTAGGAACATAGGACCACACTCCTGAATGGCATCAGTCCATCATCATAGACATTCAGTAGGGCTTTGGGGGTCAATGTTAGCAGTTCATTCATCATGAAATGTCACCATCTGAAGCAGTGGTTCTCAACCTTCCTAATGCTGCCATACGGTAATACAGTTCATGCTGTGGCGACCCCCAACCATAAAAGTTATTTTTGTTGCTACTTCATCATAGTAATTTTGCTACTGCTATGAATTGTAATGCAAATATCTGGTATGTAGGATAGCTGATAGGCAACCACCAAGGGGGTCGTGACCCACACAGGTTGAGAAACACTGATCTACCATCTTCAGGTGCACGAACTTGCATGTTGAAGGGCCACATTATGCCTCTTTCAGGTGTCTCCTGGTTTCCATGGAGCCCACATAACCCTTGTCCCTTCTCAGTGTAGGCTCCCCCTGGCCCATCAATGCTCCTCCTTGTAGCAGTTCAATGCTCAGGCCCACAGAGAATCATTCAAAATTGTGTGCACCAATTCAGAGCTAAGCAAAATGGTTCCTGCCTCATTTAAGAGGCGGTGATCCCTAACTGAGTTCAAGAGGACCACAGGTATACCAGCTTCAAGGTCATGGCAGCTCTGCTTTCTGATCCTGCCAATGGCGCCCTTACACCTATGGTGGCCCCACAGAACATTCAGAAGGTGAACTAATACTGAAAAAAAAAATCTCATTTAGTGTGAAAATTACTCCAAACCTGGAACCCACAGACATATGAATGTTTCTCCCCAGGAACTCAGTTCAGTGAGCTGAAGATTCTGCAGTGCACCTTTTCATTAGAACGGGCTTCAACACTTCAATAAATCTCAACAGAGTGCTCTTCTGAAAAGCCTAGTGTTCATGCAGGAGATATATAATCGTGGCGCTCCACGTTTTAAAGATGAGGCAAGCAAAGGCAAATATTCCATAATTCATTGTGTGCTCTCTTCCAGAAAACTTTTCTATTAAGAATTTGATTAATAGTCTAACCACACTCACTGCACACAAAATGGCTTGGGAGACATGGGAAAATAGACACGCTTCTCAAGAGAAAGCATGGATCTTTTCCTTGTCTGAGATTGGTTAGTCTAGAAACAAGAATGACAAGGCCGGCCACGCTCTCTCCTTCCTTGCTTTTAATGGGGAATACTTCTCAAGGAGCCTGAATGAGATGATCATTATGTCTGTTCAGCTAGTTACTTCCTTAAGTGGGAGAGACAGCATGGTGTATGCAGAGAGCATTTGGGACATCCTGCAATTAACACCAGCTCAGCTTGGTGCAGACTGCATGCCCCACCAGGCCGGAGCTCTAGCCTCCAGTTTTACAGCTGGGAGGATGAATTCAGGCAAAGTGTGCATGTTGTCAGCTCACAGCAGGGACACAATAAACGGCAGCTCTTTTAGGCTCTGCATAAGCCAAGTTTCCCAGGTTGAAGCTCAGTTTTAGAGAAGACAATTAGATCTTCCCCTCAATTCCTGCGTGGGAGAACGCCGGCATTTGTTGAGCCCTGTTAGTGTGGCAGCCATTAACTCAGCTCCCCAACACTCCTACTCGTGAAACCTGTAGTGGGTTGAATGGAGGCCACTGGGAAACAATGTCCACATCCAATTCTACCTCCTTACTTGAAAACATGTGTCTGGAAGTATAATTAAATTAGGGGTCTTGAAGCAAAGCAACGATCCTGGGTTATCTAGATGAATCCTACATACAACAAAGTTATTCCTATTTGACCAATGGCTTGGGGAAAAGAACAGACAGTTCTCAAAAGATGAAGCACAAATAATAAGCAATATGGAAAAATACTCAGTTTCACTAGCTATCAGAGAATTCTAAATCAAATCTACATAGAGATTCCATCTTACCCCAGTCAGAATGACAGTCATTAAAAAGGTAACAGCAGGTACTGAAGGATGTGGACAAAAGGGAGCCTTTCCAGCCTGCTGCTGGGACTGTTAACTGGTCCAGCCACCATGAAAGTCAATCTGGAGGTTCCTCAACAAACTAAATATCAATCGACCATATGACCCAGCTCTGCCACTCCTGGGTAGTTTATCCAAAGGACTAGAAACCAACCTATCCCAGAGATACTTCATGTCACTGTTATTGCAATGGCATTCACAGTAGCTGAGTCATAGAACCAACCTAAGTGACCAGCAACAGAGGGACAGACAAGGAAAAAGTGGCATGTATACACAGGGAAACTTTCCCTGGCATAAGGAAGAATGAAGTTAGGTTGTTTCAGGAAAACGGATGCAGCTACAGATAATCGTAAGTGAATTAGGCTAGTCTCAGAAAGACAAACATTGTATGCTTTCTGTTGTAGCTCCTAGATTTTATATTGATGCATAAAATCATGTATATACAGGTGACATAAATGTACAGAAGTCCACCCATCCAGCAGGACTGTGGCAGGGAAGAGAAATGAGAGGGAGGGACAAGGGGAAAATGCTCATCACACTAGAGACACATGGTTGAAAGCTTTTTTAAAATATACATTTTGTAGATACCCTTATAACACAGAAAGACAAAGAAAAATATCATATAAAGCTGGAGGCCGAGTTTAGAGTAATAGGGCTTTGGGCTCAGGAATATGGGGAGCAAGAATTGGATTCTCTCCTAAAGCTCCCAAGGAACGTTCCCTCTGGATTTCAGATTTCTGGCCTCCAGAACTAAGAGAGAATATGTTCTGTTGCTTTTGCATTGCTAATGTGAAGCCATTGTGAATACGTTATTTTTATTCTCCAGGGATAAGAAACCTTGGAGGGGTTGAGCAACAAGCTTAACTTCGGTTGATTAGTAAATATTCTGTTCAAGATGCAGACCCAGGTGTCCACACGAAAACACAGAGATCTGTTTTTGTTTGCTCATTTGATTCCAATCAAATGGTTGTGCCAAAACCATCCACGGAAACCAATGTCATTAAAATGAACAGCGAAACTCAGAAATGATGAAAGGGTCACATGGGCGTCATAGCCATGACAACTACCACCCAACACAACACCATCTCCTGGATGAATCCAGTGACCGGCAGCCGGCCGACATCCTAGTGTGCTGATCCATACTGTCAGCATTAATAAAGGCAAGCACAGGCTTGAGAGAAAGAGCAAAGCCCTTGGCAGGTCGGCCATTGGTGCCATCAGTAAATGTCACTAAAAACTGGGCAGTCAGAAAGTGAAAGTGTTGAACCAAGCGAGGCAAGCTTTGCCAATTTCCTAAAAAACAGACATGCGTCAAGTCTAGGCCCTACCAAAGCATCCTACGTGACCCATAGAAAGTCATTCATTTGCTCTGACTCCATTTTCTCCAGCAGCAGACGATGGATTCCTCGGAATATGTTACTCATAGGAATACATTCGGCAACATTCTCCAGCATTGCCTTCCGGGACATTTCTAGGCTATATTCAGAGTAGGTAATATGTACCAAATTGTAGCTTGTTAAGATGTCAATTTTGTCAAAAGTCATTGATTATACATACATGTGTGTGTATATGTATGTATGTATATATGTATGAACATATGTATAAAGACCAATAGGTGCATTAAAAATGCCACCCAACAGGAATTAAGCATGGTAGAATGTCTGTGGCCATTTTGAACCTCAGCAGTCAGGAAGCCTAAGCTTTCTTCAGTTGAAGGCAGGGCTGTCCTACACAAGTAGCCCCTTGCGTTTGACATCTACAGGCCATTCACAAAGTGCTGCTGTCCACACAGCCACTGATTTCCAGGCTGGAAGGCAGGCACACACCACCTCCACTCCTTAAAGGAGGGCATGTTAGAGCCTTGAGCCTTATAGTAAGAGATGCTAGGTTTAACGGTGAACCCATCCAGCACTTCTTGAGACAAAAGTCGCTGTGGTTCAATGTCTGTTGGTGACATGCTGCCATAAACTGGCATACCTAGCGTGAACTATTTTCCATGAACTAGGGAAGTGATTCCTTAGCTTGCAGACAGTACCTCTCCTAGAATAAATAAATACCCAAACTACCATTTGTCCCGAAAGGTAAATTTTTCCCAGCACCTGAACACAGTGACAATCTGTAGCAGCACAGAAAATAAGTGAATGACTGAAAGATTCAGTTCATTTGTCAATGTGGGAGCCAGAGTACAGCTTTCCCAGAACCTGGCAACAGGAAGTTCAATTCTAGGTGCCTTGGAGTGAGGGTAAAGTCTGCCCGGGTTACCGTTTTATAGCCTCCCTTTGCTACAGTAAATGATGAGAAAAGCATCTCATAGCAGAACCTGGACCATCTAAAATCATGGACTTGCATCACCTAAGACAGAGATATATCGCAGTCTTGCAATGAACATTTTATTTTAGGGTAAACCTTTGGGACATTGCAAAAGAATGTGATGGGATACGCTGGACAGTTTCCTAAAAATATATTTGTCCTCTGAGGTGGATGCTGGGCCCACTCTGTGATGTGTCTCTGCTTCCCTGCTTCCCTGCATTCCAGGCGGCTGGGCCAGCTCCTTATGTGTTTGTTCGTTTTGGCATGGTTGGGTCTGGTTATGTAATTGTTCCCTTCACCGTGAGACCTCAGAGGTCACCCACTATAGCATCAGGTCAAGACGAGGGCCTCCTGTGCTGATCAGAGGCGTGCAGAAAGCAGGTGCGGGGGTGGGGGCCGGGGGTGGGGGTGGGGGCATCCTCTGTGACTGAGGCATGCCTACTTCCAGACACAGTGCCACAGGCTGGCTCTTAGGACTCTAAGAACATAGGGAATTATGCAGTAGCTAGGAAGGGGGTGGTAGCTGTTTTGTGGCACCCAACATTCATTTCAGGGGTCCTTCTGTGTCTGGGTGCTGGGGCCAGAGGGCCAGTGAGTTCATGGAATTTTCTCCCTGACTGTGATTTAGCCCATATTCATATTTCATATTCAGATGATCAGCATTGGTCAGAAATGCTTGTGTCCGAATGGCAGGAGTAAAACTCTTTCTCCTACTTAGAGAAGGGAAAGGAAACATTCGCATGCGCATTTCAGAGCATAGACCTTTCCTGTTTGCCCAGATTGTTCAAAGCAGGTTGAGATTGGCTTCAGACCTACAAATAAGAGGGAAAGGCGATCAAGTATTTCTTGAGACAGACCCAAAACTGCCTTCTCCCACCGACTAGCATGGCAAACTGCAGACATTTAATAATTATGCTCTCTTCCGCATTGTCTACCAAAGGCTAACTTCAAAAGCATTCAGAAAAAGTCCCGAGACCTCACGACAATCAAGTCCACTGAGCTTCTTCTCTCTATACTCAGTTCCGTATCAGCCTCTGCCTCCCTGGCTCTGGTCCTCACCACATTCCCTTAGCTGGGTTTTCCGATTTAACAGAAGTCTCCAGTTTTGAGCCTGTCCCTCAGTCTCTAGCCACACAGACCCCATTAGCTCTGTTTTCCCTGTTTTTTCAGAGCCCAGGATCCCTGGAGGGTGTTCTTCCTGGACTTGGCCACTTAAAGAGATTAGGGGCGGGGTGTGTGGGGTGTGTGTGTGTGTGTGTGTGTGTGTGTGTGTGTGTGTGTGTGTGTGTGTGTATGAATGTGAAGTCACTAGTGACCATTTTTCTCATTCAGAGAGGTGTACAAGAGAATTAGAAGAGTAACCAGTGTGCAGCGTGGCCTCTCAGCATCTTCCACTGTGACCTTGGCCATGACCCTTCTGCTGCCCTGCTGTAAACTTTTCCACCTCCCAAAGGAAGCAGTTGACATTTGAGTTCTGGCTTCAGTGTTGAAGAGTTTATGAATGGGGACCCCGCAATAAGACAGACTATTGTGAACTGATGACATTCCCCACAGACACAACGAGGAAAAGAAATGTGGTCCCTGGAGAATTATCGAGCTATGCAAATGCTCTGTAAATATGAGACATGGCATCGATTTTTCGGAATGTCAGAAGCTGTAAAGTAAATCTCAAAAAAAAAAAAAGAAAAATAAAGTATCCTAGATGACCAAATGCCCTTTCTCTTATGATTTCTATTTCTCTCTCTCTCTCTTCACCTCTTCTCTCCTTCCCCCTTTCCCTCTCCTTTCTTCTCCTCTCTTTTTTCTTTCTTACTCCATTGTTTTTATTTTCCTACCTCTAAATGAAGCATCTGAGACTGAACTCAGGCGCACTCTGGAAGCTTCTGATGAAACGGCATTGGTATTCTGCAACCACAATTTTGCGTGAAGAAGAATTTTGCCCTGGTCTCTGGGTCTCATTCAGGGCTCCCTCTTTCAAGCCTCATGTTCCCCCTGGATCACTTTTCCTTGTTCCTGCATCTTCCATACACAAAGGAAGACAGACACTGTCCCTCTCTGGGGCAGTCCTGGGCTCCTCCATCTGGATTTCAATCATTCATTACCAATCCCCTTTCTGTTTTAACAAATTTCTCTCAAGTGAGTTGTCCAGAATTCCTCCCATCTACATTGCAAGAAACCCCCATCCCTCCAGCACACATAAATCAATGATCCCCTCTGTCTATTTACATAGACATGTTTTTAACTGACCTCATGTTTACAAAACAGGGCCTCCACCCTTTGCAACTTGTCTGGCTTTTTTTTTTTTTTCCCTACACCGAATTCCACACCAACAGATCCAGCCTCCAAACCTGCTCAAGGTCACCCATTCCTTGCCCTTCCCCCAGCACAGCCAGAGTGGAACTGGTTCCCTCCAGTCACTTCCCATTTAACAAGTCATGTTTCTTCATTGTTTGATAAGCTCTCCTTCCAAGCGGTCTATTTGCAGAGCCCTTGAGAGTGGCCCTTGGTACATGCACATCATCTTTTCGTCTTTCCTTTACTTCAGAACAGCAATAGCTTGGCACCTTGAAGTATTCCTTATGCAGCTTAACTAAATAGTCTACAGCCCTTATCAGCATGTCCCCTGAACCAGGCACACAAAGCACATTCCCAGGAGAGCCTACAATACTGTTACCAACTTGTAAATTCAATCACTCCAAGAAGAGTCATATGCTAATAAGAGAATCTTACAATACTCCAAAGACAGAGCATGTAACTTGAATTTTTCTATTTATTTTCTACAGTTGTTTTATATATATATATACATACACACATATGTACATATATATTATAAACATGATTATTTTACATGGTAATTACATTTCCAGTAACATTACTGAAATCAGTTGTTAGTTCTGAAAAAATTTTAAATTAGGTTTTATTTATCCAGCTTCTACAAGATTTCTTCATAGAAATCATGTTTTATACAAATACATATAATTTTCCCTTTCTGATTCGTTTGCCTTTCATTTATTTATTTTTTCTTGCTTTATTACAGTGGCCATAAATTCTAATACTTGAATATAAATGGGGAAAGTAGCCAAGTGTCAGAATTTATGGTCACTGACCTGGGAGAAAGCATTCAATCCTTCACCGTGAACTGTGAATGTTTTGCCTCTTCCGAACAGTCAGGGTCCATCTGGCACCCAGTTCACTGAGCAGCAAGCCTGAAGCCTGGATTTAATTCATTGGGCATTTGTAAAGTCTCTAGGAGGTATTCCTGGGGCTGTGGTTTGGGGAGTTTTCAGTTTGCTTTTTGTTTTTTACATTGCTATTTTGCTGAGCAGTTAGTACAAAAGTGGTCCTACTATTTTCATAAAACAGGTTTAAAGCTACTTACAGAGAAGATTTGCACAACTTTTCCACCCCTGAACCCCCTAATTCTGAGATGCTTTTTCAGCCATACATCTTGACAATGGCACTGTAGTTTGCTCACACTCTGTTGGGCACTTGGCTCTTTTGTTTACAGTCTTTAAAACACACACACACACACACACACACACACACACACACACACACACTGAAATCTAGATATATATGTGACTATGTGACTTCCTCAAGGTTACCCAGGAAGTAAAGAGCAATGTCCCTTGACATGTGCTGTGCCCACAGAAACAGAAACATAACAGTTTGCACTCAAATGTAGTGTATGTATGCACTCCATGTGTACCAGTCCATTCCCAAACAGGAGGTCATTCTTTGTGCCAGGCCTAGGACAAATGCACACTCTGCTGAAATGGGGGAAGTACATGGGGATTTAAGGAACTCAGCCTCCTGAAGACAGAAAGCGACTGTAGATTCTAACACACCATCTCTAACATATGCTCATTCCATGAATAGTGGATGAAGCATGTGTGTGTAAGTGTCTGTTGAATTGCACACAAATGACTCAGGTAAACATTCTGTGACTCTCTGGAGGAAGAACTGTTAGGCCTGAAGTTTCAGAGCTGGAATGGAACCTGCCCAGAGTTTGCCAAGAGAGCCCTGCTCTAGCCCCTAGACATCAGACGGGCTTTAGAGCAAAGTCAGGAGCAATGTCTGAGTGCGTTTGCTAAGATCCAAAGTTATTTTTTCAAATTCTTCACCTGCAAAGTGAGATACAGGTATTTACCTCAAAGGTTATTAAAAGGATCCATGATCATATAAAGAACTAATAGAGACCCTAGCTTGTAATAAATGCCCAGTGAAAGTTTTTTTTCTTACTCATTCAGCTGCCTTAAGAAAGTGAAATCAATATCTGTCTTTATAAAAACACTATGATGTATTGAGGAAGATAGTAATAAGTTTAAAAAGATACATGCTTGATTTTATTTAACCATGTTTTCTGGTTTAATTCATACATGCCTCCAACAGAGTTCTCAACTTACAGCCAAGGTCATGTCTATTGCCATCTGGTTGTTCTAAATAATTCCTACTCAAGGAAGCTTGGCCCACAGCCAGGAACAGGTGCGTGGCTTTGATTCTCTGAGGCCAACTGTAGCTTAAACCAAAGGATGCCTTTTCAACCGTGAGCTTGGCCAGTTGGAGGCCAAGAGGAAAATGTCTTTATGAAAAGTTGTCAGTTACACAAGATCTTGGAGAAACAAGCTCTCAGGACTTCTATGGTCTATTTGAGCTTCACGGGGTCTGTTGCTTCTCTCCTATCTATTGTTCCACAGAAGGGATCATGGACACTTTGCAAAACAGAGCAAGAAAAATTCCAAGATCTCAAATCACGATGCCCCACATGCCAGCCCTTCCCACCTGCAATTCCATAAGTGCATAGACAATGGCCTCATCCAAGTTGATAGACCCCAGCAGCAGGCAGTTGAAGATAATCACGAGACTCCGAATTTTGAGTCTTGGCTGATCTGGGAGAGCAAGTTCTCAAGGTGTTACACGCTACCCATATGAGAAATCTGTAAGTGAGTGTGTAAGTTGCCTCAATAGCTAAGTTCCCCTCAACTTTGAACTAGTATGAGAATGCTGCTCTCTCTCTCTCTCTCTCAATTGGTCAGACACTGATTCTGGAGCACCATAGCAAGACCCAGTTTGATGGAAACTGTCCCGAATCTTCATGTTTCCAGATAAAAGAAAGCCAAACTGAATTCTTTTGTCATTAAAATTCCTTCCAAAAGAAAAATTCCTTCCTTTTAAATTCCTGTAAATTTGAGTAAATTGCCTCAGAATCAGCATTAGCACTTTTTTGGAAGACAGAAGAGACTGCACAGAGTTTGACAAGAGAAAGCAGGTGAAATAGAATCGTCACCAGGCATTGAGTTTTTGACACGGAGAGGAGCGAGCAAAGTGATAGACACTTGATGCTGACAGGTCAGCACTGGAGAATTTCCAAAGTTAAATAATTAAGCTTACATCAGCCCTTTCTGATTGAGTATCCAGACTGGATTTAATTAACATTTCTAGCCTCCTTTTTTTTTTTTTATCAGCAACAATGTATTATTAGACTTAAAATGGAAAACTTTATTTTTAAAAATCACTCATATAGCAGCCTATGAAATTATTGCCAAATGGAGCAAAGGAGTCATTGTCTTATCACTTCTTCCATTGGAGCTAGAAAAAAAAAAAAACCTTACAATTATTTTTAATATGGTATTATTATTAATTCCTTAAGAATTTCATAGTGTATTTAAATCTTATTTACCTCCACTCTTCCCTCTAAACTGATCCCAGGTCCATCCTTTATCTCCCGACCCTTTTCCAATTTCATGTCCTCTCCCCCTCTCTTCCTCTATATATAGCCCAATGAGTCCAATTTGTGAGGCCCATGTACTCATGGGTATATGCCCATCCATTGGAGCATGGTCAACCCACCAGGGACCACACACTTAAAAAACTGAGTCTCCCTTCCTGATCAATCAACTGTCAATTACTCCTCACTTAGGGATGGGGTTCCTGAATACCACCCCTCCTCCTTGTTCTAATGATTTTTCTAAAGAGAGAAGAAACTGAGCCATCTCCAGATGTTACAATATTACAATGCATATGATATTTGAATTCAGCTCATTAGTGCTTATCAAACAGCATATACTCTTCTAGGCAGGCAATGGGGCTTTGAGGAGTTAACTGGACTCAGTGGTCAGCAGACAGACCATTAAGTAAGTCCTGCTTTGGATAAAGGCAAAAGGAGGTCTGCAAAGGAGAATAGTACCATTCTCCTCCAGGTCTGACGGAGCCAACAGGGAGGAAGTGAGGCAGGAGACACTGGGGTCGAATCCTCAGGAATAAGTAGGCTATGCTTTTCGCAACGCCATAGCAGAAGTATAGAGCTACCTTACTCCCCAAATTGACTACAGGCCATTACTTTACAAACTTCTTTAGAAAAAGTGGGTGTCTATAAAAAAAAATCATGACAATTCAAATAAGATGTGAACCTAGATTATAATAGAGTAAGATCAGAATTTCTCAGCACTCATAGCAGGGCATGGGGTAGAGAAGCCAAGAGCTGGTCTTGCACCAGACCTTCAGGGATGGAAAGAATTAAAAAAAAAAAGAATAAAAAGGAGTTTGGAGAAGAGATATTAAATAATAATTTGACTTATCAAAGAGTGTGGGGAGAGATAAGTTCTGACCTGGCCTAGTAGACCTTGAATTCTAAGCTAAAGATTGTGGATTTTATCTATTGAATTGTATAA